GTTTTTTTGTTTTGTTTTGAGTTGGAGTCTCACTCTGTTGCCCAGGCTGGAGTGCAGTGGCACACTCACGGCCACCCCAGCCTCGACCTGCTGGGCTCTGGCGATCCTTCCACCTCAGCCTTCCAAGTAGGCGGAACTACAGGCATGTGCTACCACAACCGGCTAATTTTTTTTATTAATCATAGAGATGAGGTCTCGCCAAGGTGCCTGGGCTGATCTCGAACCTGCATGCTCAGACAATCCACTCACCTTGGCCTCTCAAAGTACTGAGATTACAGGCTGAGCCACCGAACCTGGCGGGTGCAGGTTGTTTATTTGCAAGATGATCCCCAGAAGCACAAGCAGGTAGGAAAATCGAACCTGGAAGAACAAAAAGACAATAAACGGCGCAGAGTTTGGAATAGAGGAAAGCGCCTGGGGCTTTGCCTGGCCTGAGAGTGAGCCCCTCCTTCAGGGTTGACCCTCGTGCTCCTGCTTGCCTCACCCTAGTCCCAGCCCCAAAATGGTTACTGCTGTGAGTCGCTGGAGCTCATGTGCACTGGAATCCCACTGAAGATCAAGAAATCATGTAGAAAACGCTTTAATGAACCCACCGAGGACAAGGGAAGCTGCGGTATTTATTCACTAGTTCCCAACCCTCACTGGTGGAGGATTGCTCCTGGTAGAATCAATCCTGTTACTTCCAGTCAGTTCTGCACGCAGACAGTAGGAAGGCCTCAGACTCAGATGCAGAAAGATCCAGGCATATGACGTGGGAAGCTGCCAGCATGTATGGGAATTGCCCACCCTATTCATAAGGGGGCCAAGAGGATACAGTGGAGGACTTCAACTGGTTGCCACGGTATATTCCAGGAAACCTCCCACACAGAGGACAGGTGTGAGCCTTATGGTGATGGGGGCTGGGGGCAACCTAAGTGTCCATCACAAGGAGACTGGATGAGGGAAAATGCAGTGGGCGGGCCCTCCATGGAATATAACGCAGCCGTCAGAAACAGGGAACTTGTAAAGAGCTGTGCGGAGAGATCTTAGAAACAGTGTTAAGTTAAAAAAAAAAGTGGGGGGAAGAGTGGAAGATTTATAGCACAATCCTACTTATGTAAATTGGAAGTACATATACACACAAAATCACAAATTATAAAGATACATCTTTGCAGCTATTTATCAAGTGCATTAAAGTGGGTGTCTGGGGTGGGGGGTGGGAATGGGAATTGGGAATGGGAGAGTGAAACCTTGGAGGGTCTTTCATGGGCCAATTGTGATTCTGTGTATGATCTGAAGAGTATGATTAATAACTTTCTGCACCAAAAGGGCCAAGAAAAAAATAGTAAAAGAAATGAAAAATATGAAGCGCCTGCACATCAGAGCTATTTCTTACCTGCTACACAATTATTATTACCGCAGGGATGATTATAGCAAAGCAACCAGACTCATTCCCTGCCTTCTGGAAGCCCCCTCACCGCCTTCTCCTCAGGGAGCCCCTTCAGTCCCCAGGAAATGCTCTTGCCCCCAGCGAATAAGGCACTTCCTACTCCTTTCATGTTGCCCAGAGAAGCAGAAAGAAGTAGGCCTGCTACCCCCAGAGGTTCTCATCTCATACCTGAGATGCATATAGAATAGGGGGTGAGTGTGTAGGACTCCGATCACATCCCAGCTCTGCCACAAACCAGCTGTGGGACCTCAGGCAAGACATGTTGCCTTCTTACACCACAGTTTCCACACCAGTAAAATGAGTATGATCATTGTATTAGTCAGGGCTCTCCAGACAAACCGAACAATAGGATGGATGGATGGATAATGGGTGGATGGATGGATGGATGGATGATTCGTTGGTTGGTTGATTGGATGGATGGATGAATGGATGATGGATGGCTGACTGGATGATGAATAGATGGTTGGATGGAGGGACGGACGAAGGGGTGGATGAATGAATGGATGGGTGACGGATGGATGGATAGGTGGACAGGTGGGTGAGTGGATGGAGAGGTGAATGATGGATGATGGATGGATGGATAGGTGGATGATGGTTGGATGGATAGGTGGACAGGTGGGTGGGTGGATGGAGAGATGAATGATGGATGATGGTTGGATGGGTGATGGATGGGTGGATGGATGAATGTATGGGTGATGAATGAGTGATGGATGGATAGATAGATAGATAGATAGATAGATAGATAGATAGATAGATGAGGATTCATTACGAGAACTGACTCAGACAATAAGTGAGGCTAAGAAGTTTCATGACAGGCCATCTGTAAGTTGGAGAACTAGCTGGATCCAAGACCAAAAGCTCCACGAACTAGGGAAGTCAATGGTGTAATTCTCCATGTGAAGCCAAAGGCTTCAGGACCCAGGCAGGGGGCGATGGTGCAAATCCCAGAGTTCAAAGGCTGAAAAGCCTGGAGGTCTGATGCTCAAGGGCAGAAGAAGGGTGTCTCAGGTCATAAGAGAGAGTCAATTTGTCTCTCCTCTATCTTTTTGTTCTATTCAGCCCCTCAGTCAAATGGATGGTACCCATCACGTTGGGTGACAATGGGTCTTCCTTTCTCAGCCCACGGATTCAAATGCTAATCTCTTCTGGAAACACTCTCACAGTCGCACCCAGAAATAATAATGATGCTTTACCAGCAATCTAGCAAACTTAACCAGTCAAGCTGACACCTCAAGTTAACCATCACGGGCAACCCCCTTGGGTCCCCTCCCACTGTGGGAGTTCTTCTGTCCTCTCAATAAATCCTGCTAAAATAAATAAATAAAGTTAATCATCACAATCATAAACATAACTTTACATAGCACTGAAGCATGAAGTGAGTTTGTTCCTGGGACATTTTTTTTTTTGAGTTGGAGTCTCACTCCGTCACCCAGGCTGGAGTGTAGTGGCACATTCACAGCCACTCCAGCCTCAACCTGCTGGTCTCTGGTGATCCTTCTACCTCAGCCTTTCAAGTAGCTGGCGCACACTGCCATGCCCGTCTAAGTTTATTTATTTATTTATTGTAGAGATGAAGTCTCACCAAGTTGCCCAGGCTGGTCTCGAACCCGCAGGCTCAGGCAATCCACTTGCCTCGGCCTCCCAGAGTGTTACAGGTTGAGCCACTGAGCCCGGCCTTTTTTTATTTTATTTTTTTTGAGTCGGAGTCTCACTCTGTTGCCCAGGCTGGAGTGCAGTGGCACGCTCACAGCCACTGCAACACAGCCTCCACCTGCTGGGCTCAGGTGATCCTTCCACCTGTCTTCCAAGTAGCTGAAATTACAAGCACGTGCCACCTGCCCGACTAATTTTTTGATTTATTGTAGAGATGAGGTCTCACCAAGTTGCCCAGGCTGGTTTCGAGCCCATGGGCTCAGACAGTCCTCTCACCTCAGCCTCCCAAAGTGCTGGGGTTACAGGCATGAACCACCACTCCCGGCTTGGAACATTCTTAAACCAATGGCAGAAGCTCCTCTTCTGCCACTCGGCAGCCTTCCCACCACCCCCAAGTGCTTGCCGTTCTGTGAGAGTCCTCAAGCCAGCTTCCCATCCCTCTACCTCAACCTCCATCAAGGACTCCCCAAAGTCAGCTGACTGAAGCCAACTAAAGGAATCCTAAAGGCTGCCCAGACAATCCTAAAAGTTGTTCATGGAGTCCTAAAAGCTGTCCAGGGAGTTCTATAAGTTACTCGGGGCGTCTTAAAAGTTACCCAGGAAATTCTAAGCCAACCCAGGGAGTTTTATTTTTCTTTTCTTTTTTTTTTTTGAGTTGGAGTCTCAACTCTGTCTTCCAAGGGACTTGTAAAACTTACTCAGGGAGTCCTAAAAGGTACCCAGGGAGCCTAAAAGTAGCCCAGGGAATGCTAAAAGCCGGCCAAGGTGTCCCTAAAATTGTTTATGGAGTCCTAAAACTGCCAAGTAAGTCCTAAAAGTTACCCAGAGAGTTCTAAAAGTAACACAAGGAATCCTAAAAGCTGCCCAGGAAATCCTAAAAGCTACTCAGAGAGTCCTAAAAGATACCCAGGGAGTCCTAAAAGTTACCCAGGAAGTCCTAAAAGTTGCCCAGGGAGTCTTAAAAGTTACCCAGAGAGTCTTAAAAGAGGTTCAGGAAGTCCTATATGTTACCCAGGGAGTCCTAAAAGTAACACAGGGAGTCCTAAGAGTTGCCCAGGAAATCCTAAAAGTTAGTCAAGGAGTGCTAAAAGTTACTCAAGGAATCCTAAAAGTTGTTCACAGAGTCCTAAAAGGCATCCAGGGAGTCCTAAAAGTGACCCCAAAAGACCTGGAAAACTACCCAGGAAGTTAACTTCTGAAAGTTACCCAGGGAGTCCTAAACCTGCCAAGAAACTCCTAAAAGTTAGTCAGGGAGTCCTAAAAACTGCCCAGGAAGTCCTAAAAGGTACCCAGAGAGTTTTAGAAGCTACCCAGAGAGTCCTAAAAGTGATCCAGGAGTTCTAAGAGTCACCTGAGGAGTCCTGAAGGTTGCCCAGGGAGCCCTAAATGTTGCCCAGAAAGTCCTAAAAGCAGCCCAGGGACTGTCTAAAAACAGTCCAAACCATCCCTAACGTTATTCATGGAGCCCAAAAGCTGCCTAAGGCGTCCACAAAGCTGCATAGGAAGTCTTAAAAGTTACGTAGGGAGTCCTAAAATTGTCTAGGGAGTTCTAAAACCTCCCCAGGGTGACCTAAAAGCCACCCAAGCAGTTGTAAAAGTTGTCTAGGGAGTCCTAAAAGTGACTCCGAAAGTGTGAAAATTGCTAGGGAGAATAAAAGTTACCCAGGGAGTCCTAAAAGTTGTTCAGGGATTTCTAAGAAGGTCAGTTTCTCTTTCCTTCTCTGTACAGCCTGGGGCTCACTTGGCCCCGTGGCGTACCTGGCTCACCAGCTGGCCCCACCCACTCATGCCTTTTGAGTCAGGGTGGTATCTCTAATTCCGCATTACCTTTTCACTTTACACACATCATCTTGGATTGCTCATTTAGCCTAGCTTAAAAGCCGGGCCATGCAGCTGGGGAAGCAGTAGCGATTTGGCCATGGCTGCAGTATGGATCACGGCTCTGATGACTGTGATGCTGGGCTTGGCCAGAGCAGGGCCGGTTCCCACTTCCAGGTCTGCCACACCTGGGAGAAACTGCCACATTGACAGGTTCAAATCTCTGCCACCAGGAGATCTAGAGGACTGCAAGAAAGCCAAGGATGCCTTGGTGAGTTTCTTCTACTGGACCAAGCTGCTGCCCTGCCGCTGTGGGATAACCTCTATCCTTCTGCCATGGTCTAGCCTCTGGCCTTCCAGCTATCCCTAATCTCTATCCTTCTGCCATGGGCTAGCCTCTAGCCTTCCAGCTATCACAAACCTCTATCCTTTGTGCAATGGGTTAAACTCATAATTAGGCCAACCTTCATCCTTGCTGCCAAGGGCTAGCTTCCAACCTTTCTGCTGTGGACTAACCTCTGCCCTTGCTGTCTAGGAAGAGTCGCTCTTGCTGAAAGACACGAGCTGCAGCTCTCGCCTTCTCCCCAGGAACTGGGACCTGCGGAAGCTTCCAGTGAGTTGGAAATCAGGCCACCTGCCCCTTACCTTACCCTGTTCCCTGTCTCCTTGCACGAACCCTTCACTCCTCATCTTTGCTGTCCTTCTCTGTCTCTGATCTCTCCTCATCTGTCCTGTGTCCTGTCACTGCTCCCTTGATGCTGTCCTTCCCCTGGGTCCCATGTCTCATCTCCTGCTTGTCCCCTGACTCTCTCACTCACCTGTCCCTTCACTTCCATTCTCAGCCAACTCCTTTCTGTCTCTTTCTTCTTTCCTCTCCCATCTGTCCCCAGGCTGCCCCTCACCTGTGCCCCTCATCCTGCCCAGTTTTTTCCTGTTTGCTTCCAGCACTAATTCCCTGTTCCTCTTACCTATATTCCTCATCATTTTTTCTGACGTTCTTCCAGGGATGCCTTTCCTTCATCCACTCTTCTGACTTGTGTTCCAACTGTGCCTCTCTCCCCACCTCCCTAAGCTGTTCTCTCCTCATCTTCCCCATCCCCTGTCCCGTCAAGCCTCGGTGACCCCCATAAATCCTCTCTCACTTGTCCCCTCACCTATCTCCTCTGTTATCATTCTGTCTCAACTGTGTCCTCTTTATCTTCAACCGTCATAATGCGTTCCCCTCTCCTGTTTCCCTCTCACCAGAACCATCACCTGTCCCCACCACATGTCCCATATCACTGGCCCTGCCCCCTGTACTAACTATCTGTCCTCACTTACCCGGGACTTCTTGCCTATTCCTCCTCACCTGTGTTCTCACCTCTCCTCAGGTGTGGCAGCGCCCCATGGTCTTGGAGGCTGAGCTGGCCCTGACACTGAAAATCCTGGATATCGCAGCTGACACGACCCTGGGGGATGTCCTGAATCGCCCCCTTCACATGCTGAGCTACATCCACTCCCAGCTCCGGGCCTGTGTGAGTCCTCGGGGTCTGGTGGGCACCCAGGTGTAGGCTCTGACCACCGTCCTCCCCTGTGGCCCCAGCCCTGCCTCACACTGTGCCTCCTCTGCCCTCAGTTCCCAGCTCAGCCCACAGCAGGCCCCAAGCCCCAGGGCCGCCTCCTCCACTGGCTGCAGCAGCTCCAGGAGGCCCCGGAGAAGGTGGGTGACTGGGAGGGGACTGGAGTGCGGGGAGCAGCCGGGAGCCCAGACTATGGGCAGCCACTGACCGTTCTTCGTCCCCACAGGAGTCCCCTGGCTGCCTCCAGGCCTCCATCATGTTTAACCTCTTCCGCCTCCTCACGTGGGACCTGAAATGTGTCGCCAGTGGAGAGACGTGCATCTGAGAATCTGGACCCACTCTCACATCAATGGGGACCCCAAGCCTTATTTACACACTAAGCCCCACCCCTGCCATAAGTTATTTCATTTCACCCTTTATTTATGGAGCTGCAGCCCTGGCTCAAACTGAGGGCTGAGTCTCTTTTCTACTTTTATATAATATGCACAAATAAACAAGGGATTGAAACCTTCAGTGACAGGTGAATCCTTGAGTGTGTATGCAATTTTGGGTTTGTAACTAAGTGTGGATGTCTGTGTGATGCACTCAAAATTTGTGACTAGCTGTGTGAGTCTGCATGTGCCTGACTTCTGTGACTGTGTGTGTATTTACATGCAAGTGAGATGCTTAGCTATACATATTCATGTTCTCATGTGTGCAAGAATGTGTGTGTTCACACGCGTTTTTATATCTCTCTGTGTCTGTGTGAGCTGCATATCTCTTTTCCATGTGTACCTAGGACAATTGGAAGTCTGTCAGTCAAGATGCTTTATCCAGTAATAAGTAATCAGAAAACTGAACTCAAATGGCCAAAATAAAAATGAGTTTATAATCACATATAACAAAAAGTCAGTTGCCTGAGCAGTTCTAGGACTGTTAATTCACTTAATCAATAATGTCACTGGGGAACTGGGTCCTTTCAATTTCTGTTGGCTGATTCTTAATCTGGCTACCACATGGTCCCAAGATAGCACCTATGGCTCCAGCTGTCACACACAAACAACAACCTTCAAGTCATAACAAACCCTCAAGTCATAACAAACCACTCCAAACTTAGTGGAATAAAATAGTCATCTTACCATGTTCACAGATTCTGTAAGTCACAAATTTGGACCAGGCCCAGTGTGGACAGCTTGCCTCTGCTCCATAATATCTAGGGCCTTGAATCTTTTCCCACACTTCTTTTATTTATTTATTTTATTTTATTTTTTTTTAATTTTTTTTTTGAATCATAGTCTCTCTCCAGAATTTGCTCCTGTCACCCAGGCTGGAGTGCAGTGGCACACTCACGGCCACTGCAGCCTCAACCTGCTAGGCTCAGGCGATCCTTCTGCTTCAGCTTTCCAAGTAGCTGGAACCACCAGTGCGCACCACCACGGCCAGGCTAGGCTGGTCTTGAACCCGTGGGCTCAAGCAATCCTCTCGCCTCTGCTTCCCAAAATGTTGGGATTACAGACGTGAGCCACCGCGCCCAGCTTTTCCCACACTTCTTAAAAGCAACGGGGAAAAATCTTTCACAGAAACGCCTATTAGATGTGCATGCTTGTCTCATTGGCTAGAATTTACTCACATGCCCACACCTAAACCAATCTCTGACTAGGAAGGTGGTATTAAAGATAGTCTTAGACTAATGAACTTCACCCCTGAGACTGGGGAGGAGCCTTTTTCCTGAAAACTGTGCCCCGAGGATGTTGAAGAAACAGATCTCCAGCAATAGCATCTGGAGGTTCCAAAGTTGTGAATCTCTTATAGGACTGATATTGAGTGGGTGTGCAATGGTAGCTCTGTTTCTGTTGTTAAAATATTGAAATACTTTCGTGCCAATTGGTAAATAGCTATTTCTCCAAGATCCTCCAGCTGTTTCCCCAAGACACCACCCCCATGCTGTCTCAGCCTCTCCCTTTGGACTCCCAAGCCTCCCTACAATTCCAAAACAAAAGAGTTTCATTTAGCAGAGTCAAGGTAGAGGAGTAGTCTCCAGAATCTACTCCAATGTGTGGCCATCTTGCATTCTGGTTTGTCAATGTCAGTTGTTATGTAGTTTGCATATCTTCTCGGCACATACACGGAAGTGTGATGTGGTTTTTAAAAAAGTGCCCATGACCGGGCACGGTGGCTCACACCTGTAATCCCAGCACTATGGGAGGCCGAGGAGAGAGTATTGCCTGAGCCCAGGGTGTCGAGACCAGCCTGAGCAATAGGGAGACTTCATCTCTACAATAAATCAAGAAAACTTAGCTGGGCTTGGTGACGCACACCTGTAATTTAGCTGTTTGGAAGGCTGAAGCAGAAGCTGTTTGGAACCTGAGCCCAGCAGGTGGAGGCTGTGGTAGTCGTGAGCATGCCACTGCACTCCAGCCTGGGCGACAGAGTGAGACTCCAACTCAAAAAACAAAAAACAAAATGTGTCCATGGCTGGCCAGGCATGGTGACTAACGACTATAATCCCAGCACTTTGGGAGGCCAAGGTGGGAGGATTTGCTTGAGCCCAGGCACTTGAGACCAGCCTGGGCAACATAGTGAGACCTCATCTCTACCAAAAAAAAAAAAAAAATTAGCCAGCTATGGTGGTGCATTCCTGTAGTTCCATCTACTCAGGAAGCTTAGGTGAAAGGATCGGCTGAACCCAGGAGTTCAAGAATGCAGTGAACTGCAATTGTGCCACTGTACTCCAACTTGGGCGATAGAGTGAGACCCAGACACACACACACACACACACACACACACACACACACACACACACAGTAGCCACAAATTATTTGATATTCTTCGCTTCAAGCGGTGGAGTCAATGTTCCCCCCTCATTGAATATGGACTTGTCCCAGGAGCAGTGGCTCACACCTGTAATCCTTGTACTTTGGGAGGTGGAGGCCAGGGGACTGCTTGGGCCCAGGGGTTCGAGACCAGTCTGAGCAACTTGGCAAGACCTCGTCTCCACAATAAATTAAAAAATTAGCAGGATATGGTAACACCACGCCTGTAGTTCTGGCTACTTGGAAGGCTGAGGTGGAAGGATCACCTAAGCATAGCAGGTCGAGGGTGCGGTGGCCGTAAGAATGTCACTGCCCTCTAGCCTGGGTGACAGAGTGAGAATACAACTCAAAAAGAAAAAAGAAAAGAAAAGAAAAGTTACACACAACTGGCAGAACCTCAGTTTTAGTAGGGGAGCAGCAAGGTGCCCAGTCCAAGACATGAATTTCCATCCCCTTTGCCTGACATATGCTTTCCCAGACTCCCTCGCAGTTTGGAGTGGCCATGCAAATAAGGCCTCTTACATAAGTTAATTTATGTAAAGAATTTAAAACAGAGCTTGGCACAGGGTAAGCCCTATATATGTGTTTGTTGCTGTTACTCATTATTTTAATTTTTTTCTTCCCCGATACAAAGAAAACTCTTTCCCACTTGTTCCCTTTCTTCCTGCTTAGTTCATTGGTATAAGGATGTGAGACCTGGAGTTGTGGCAGCCATTTTGTGGCCACAAGGTAAGAACTTAGAATATGAACTTATCATCCTGAGGAAAGTAGAAACAAAGAATAGGAAGCTGTGTCCCTGCTGATATCCATAAGCCATCGCACCAAAACTCAGGATCCTCTAACTCCGAACTTACTGTTAGATGACATAACAATGACTTTATTGCTTAAGTTATATGTTTTTAGTTTGCTTGTTTTGAGTTGGAGTCTCACTCTGTTGTCCAGACTGGAGGACAGTGGCATGCTCACAGCCACTGCAGCTTTGGCCTGCTAGACTCAGGTGATCCTTCCGCCTCAGACTTCCAAGTAGCTGGAACTGCAGGCTCGCGCCACCACACCTGGCTTATTTTTTGATTTATTGTAGAGACGAGGTCTCATCAAGTTGCCCAGGCTAGTCTTGAACCCCTAGACTCAGGCAATCCTCTTGCCTCTGCCTCCCAAAGTGCTGGGATTACAGGTGTGAGCCACCGTGCCCATCATGAACCTCTTCAATTACGTGTTGCGAGGGAAGGAAGTAAGAGTGCAAATCTCTGCTTGGATATGTGAAGGCCTGAGAGAAGAGGTTGGACCTGGATAGATTTTGGTTTTGCCTGACCAGCATCTATTTCTCTTGGTAACAACTACTCCATTTCCCTTTGGTAATGACCCCCTTTTCCACTTCCTCGTTTCATTGGGCACATGACTCAGATTTGATCAATTAGAGTACTCCATTTCAGAGCACAGCGACAAGAGAAAGTCTTCCCTCACGACAGCTTTTGCTTAAGCTGTTCCCTCTGCTTGGAACACTTCCCGCTCACCTCACTAATTTCCACCCATCCCCTATGCCTAAGCTAGTATCAGCTCCTCCTCCAAAAATCCTTCTGCTTAGTGCACTAGTGTTTCTGTATTTTTTTTTTTTTTTTGAGTCGGAATATCACTTTGTTGTCTAGGCTTGAGTGCAGTGGCACACTCACGGCCACCACAGCCTCGACCTGCTGGGTTCAGACAATCCTTTGCCTCAGCCTTCCAAGCAGCTGAAGTCAAAGGCCCATGCCACCATACCAGGCTAATTTTGTGATTTATTGTAGAGATGAGGTCTTGCCAAGTTGCCTAGGCTGGTCTTGAACCCCTGGGATCAGGCAATCCTGCTGCCTCCACCTCCTGAAGTGCTGGGATTACAGGCATGAGCACCTGGCTTTCTATTCCTTTTATATACTCAAGAAGTTTTTTTTTTCTCTTTTTTTTTTGAGTAGGAGTCTCACTCTTTCCCAAGACACATGACCTAGACATAAGATGTACCTCCCCCCCAGCCTGGCCAATCAAAGCATTCTATTCCCTTGAATGCCATAATCAGTGCAAAGTTGGCCATGTGACCTCAGTCGGGCCAATCAGAAGACTTCCCTGGGATTATCCTTTTAGGACTAGAGATTCTGCCATTTTACCTCTGGGCTCTGGAGGGAAGGAGTCTGTGTTTATAAATAAATGGCCATTTTCCCGACCACATGTAGTTGAAAGGGATGAATCTGAGCTGGGATAAGCAGACAGGAGAGATAAATAGGGAGAAGGTCTTGATGGGGACAAATGTGGGTTCCTGTTCATGAGTCCATGTTCCTTGTAGCTTTACAGTTAATTCCATTTCTTCCCCATCTGTAAGAGCCAAAAAATGCCCCATTTTTTTTTTTTTTTTGAGTTGGAGTCTCACTCTGTCGCCCAGACTGGAGTGCAGTGGCCGCTCTCAGCCACCGCAGCCTCGACCTGCTGGATTCCGGCGATCCTTCCACCTCAGCCTTCCCAGTAGCCGGGAATTACAGGCGTGCACTACCACGCCTGGCTGATTTTTTGATTTATTGTAGAGATGAGGTCTCGCCAAGTTGCCCAGGCAGGTCTTGAACCCGCGAGCTCAGGCAATTCACTCACCTTGGCCTCCCAAAGTGCTGGGATTACAGGCTGAGCCACCAAGCCCGGCCAAAAAAATTCCCCATTTTAATGCCTGTTGAGCAGAGTTCCTGTCACTTGCCACCAAAAGACACTTCCCTGATCCTCCAGCTGGGTCAGGCTGCTTCTCTGGGCTCCTACAGTCACCTGTGCATCACAGCACCGTCCTACTTCCCACAGCTCTCTGTCTGTCTGAGTTCCAGGATGGCAGAGACTAGGTCTATCTTGGTCACCACTGTGTCTCTAGTGCCCACCACAAGGTTGAGGCACAGAGAGGAAGCTCAGATATTCCCCTTGGGTGGTCCCATGTCCTTTCTTCTCGCCTAGTGTATCTATTTCTGGGGTTTAACGCTCTCAGTTTAGAAAGACAAGCATGACACTGGTATTACACATACTTCTCTATTAAACGAAGGGCTTGGGGTTATAGGAGAAGAAATGTGGGTAGGGTGTCATCCAAAGGACTGGACCAAGGACCAAGTGGGCCCCAAATATGTTAGTGGGTGGATGCCAAGTTCTGAGATGGCAGTACCTGATTTTGTTTTGAAGGAAGGCACACTCCACTTCAATGATGGGCTCTCCATGAAAATTTGATCACATAACCCTGCTGAAAACCCTCCATTGACTTCTCATGACTCTGAAGAACAAAATGTTAACTCTTGACTACAGCTCACATGGTTTTGCCAAATCTGCTCCCTGCTTGTGTCTCCCACCCCCTCTCACTCTCCTCCTTACTCCAATCCAGACACATTACCTCCAACACACCAAGCATACTCCTGCCCCAAGGACTTTGCACATACCATTCCCTTTGCCTGGAAAGCTTTTCCCTGGCTTTTCCCACAGTGAATTTCTTCAGCTCCAACATCACCCTCCTTGACCCCCTCAAACTAAATGAGGCCTCTCAATCATTCCCTGTGTCATCGTGGTTTTTGTTTTTTAATTCTTTTCCAGATGCTTATTTACCATTGGACACGCACAACTTACTTGATTGTTTATTTTCTCGTCCTTCTAGAGTATTGACCCCATGGGGCAGGGCTTTTTTGTTTTGCTTTGTCTATTTTGTTCACTCTTATAGCCCCACCCCAGGACCAGGCATATAACACATGCTCAGTAAAGCCTTATCAAGTTAACTGAAAACAATATATTCTGATGGCTGGTGTGCAGGATTTGGAAGCAGTTATGGCTCTGCTGTTTACTGACTGTGTGATCTTGGGCAAGCTTCTTAACCTCTGAGCTTCCATTCTCTCACCTCAAGATTGGGTACAGACATTGCATATGTCTGTTGCAGGCCTTAAATGCAATCGCTTATTACTGGAGTAACTCTATTTCATGACTGTCATGTGCTGTGCACTGGGTCGCATGCTTTTTATTCACGTATCAGGGATGGTTTGCGAGCACAGTCCCTGGCCTGTGGAAAGCCCTCAGGACCCAGAAGTCGTTATGGCTGACATAGATGTAAGAGTGGCTGGACCACCGGGTGAGGGAGCCTCCTGGCCTGTGATTCTCTGGTGCCTCTGTCCTGGCTACCTCCCACCCTGTCTGCCCAGATCCATCCTCCTCCCTCCTGCTCTGTTTCTATTTCTGTCTTTCTCTCCTCCTCCCCTGGCCTCAGGGGGCCCCTGGCTGGCAAGAAGCCTTCTTCCTTCTTCCTCAGGATCAGGAAGGCATTTTCTCTGCAGGACCCCTGCAAGGGCTGAGATGCCTGTCCTTCTCTCTCCCCAGCCAGCTTTCCTTTCCCAGCCACAGCTCTCAGACTCAAGAACTCCACCTCACCTCATTCCCATGCCCCTGGCAGACCTCTTCTCCACCCAGAGTCCCTCCAATTCCTTGTCCCTTTCCTCACCAGACTGGCTTTGGATACCCCAGCTCAGCTAAGGTCACTGAGGCCATTCCCTAGCCTACAGACACAGACCCGAGTGTAGTGGTGAGATCAAACTGCCAGCACCACTATTTAGTCACCAGGGTCGAGATGGGACTTGGGCAACAGATTCCTGCCTGCAAAATGGGACCAAAGATGTCTACTTCACACAGTTGCCAGGTCTCAGAGAGCAAAATGAACATTCTTTAACTGCTTAATAGTAGAGCACTATGGTTTAGAGTATTGGTTGAGTGTAGGGAATGCCACCCCAAAGCATGGCACCCTGGTAGGCTGATTATTTTACACTAAAGATGCTAGAAGAGGCTTTACTTTGATATTTTCTTATCTGCTAAAGACTGGACACACGAAAGAGAACATAATTGCCTTCTATCCCTTCCCTAAAATTTCATCATCTATAATATAAAGAAAAAAGACTGAGGAATATAATCACACCTGGGTGGGCTTTGTCACAAGGTACTGCCTGTCTCTCAAGCTCAAATTCCAAAATAACCATTTACAAGCTAATTTCAATCCCTCAGATCCATTCATTTTCCCTAAAATAATTTACTACCCCTGAAAATTACCTACATCTCCCCATCTCTCTCTCCCATGAAGGATATTTAAACACCTAAACCTCACTGGGTTCTTGGTAATCACTTTCCTGTGACTTTCCCCATTCACGTAAATGACAAATGTGTGTGTGTGTGTGTGTGTGTGTGTGTGTGTATGATTTCTTTTAAGATGGGGTTTCACTACGTTGCCCAGGCTGGTCTTGAACTCCTGGCCTCAAGTAATCCTCCCACATTGGCCTCACAAAGTGTTAATACTACAGGCATGAGCCACAGCACCCAGCCTGTGGACCTTTTCTCCTGTTAATCTGTCCATTGTCAATGCATTTCAGCAACACTTCAGAGGGAAAGCTTTCCCTTTGCCCCTACAGTACAGACTCAGAAGTCAGGCTGCCAGCCTTTTAAAAGGCCAGTTTTGCCACCTTGGGCAAGCTATTTAACGTTTCTGGGTCTCAATATCCTCACCTGTGAAATAGGATAATAGTATCCATGTCCCACTGTTGTGGGAATTAAATAACTTAAATGCTTAGCACATAGTAAGCATTCCCTAAGTGTTAGCTATTATGATCATTTTATTTTCGTTATTATCCCCCACTTCTAAGTCTCTCAAAGGATAGGAGCCTGCCTGCCAGTTTCCCTGGCCCCAGTTAGTCATCTTCCTTCAGACTCACTTAGAGTCTTTAGGCTGCAATCTAGGTCACCCTCCCCCCAACACACACGTGGGGACACACACACACACACACACACACACACACACAGGTCAGCAGGGCCTCAGACACAGAAAAAAGTTTAATTCTGCTGCGGCGGAGGGTCCCGGCTCCGGGAGGGAGGCGGATTTGGTTTTGGAGTTTGCTCGTGTGGGGATTTATTTGGAACGACGAAGGAATCGGGGAGAGTCTGGTCCTTCCGGTGGGACCTGCCCGGGAGAGGGGGTATTGGGGGAGAATAAATCAGGAGAGACAGGGAGACTGGACAAAATAAGGGCGGGCAGAGGGAGAACAGACGACAGGACAGAGAAAGGAGACAAACGGGGAAGGACAGGCACGTAAGACAGACGACAAGAGGGCAGGACAGAGACAAACGCGGGGAACAGAGAAAGGGGGACCCCAAGCCAGATCCGGCGGGACCAGGGATGTGAGTGGGACGGGGGTGGGGGCTTTGGAGGCCGCCGCGGGACAGAATAGGATCTAGTCCAGCCAGATACAAGAAATGGGCCCCTCGCCCCGTCCCAGGTGCCGGGCCGGGGGAGGGGGCTCGTGTCTCAGTGCTGCAGTGTCGGGGGACCCCGCCCCTCCCCGCGCTTCGCTGTGTAAGGCACCGGCTCCAGCGAGGTCC